CGGCAAAAAAAATAACAACTGTAATTTAGCTAAATTAATTTGAGTTTTTGTACACTAAAATGTTTGAAATTAATCGTTCCTTAAAATATGCAAACTTCACTACTATTATGCATTCGCTATCAAGGCTGATAATTCCACATGAAATGGCTATCTAATCTTTCTATATCAATCATGAAAGATTATTTATTCTTTGAACTGTTAATTACTGTATATTCTGTATGAGTAATTTAAAATGAAATTGTCACCTAATCTTTCCAATCATATAACGCCAATACTGTGCATGGCAATCAAAATGAAATAATGATGACCCCTTTCATGCATTCAGTTTTTTACAAGTTCAAAATTTATGGATTTAAAACACTCAGTTCATGTTTCTTCTTACATAAAAGCATTTCCTCAATATCAGAATATGATAATTCTCAAAAGTAAAATCCATATTGTTTATTAAACTTGTACAAAAAATTACAGACACGTTTTGAGAGCAAATAAAATTAGAGGACACAAAGAGTTAAAAAAGAAAAAAACTGTGTCCCACCGAAATGAGCGAAAATGAAACCTGAAACAATCAACTCAAACTCATTATATCAGCTCCTTGTAGATTCATCATGTAATACCTATTCAGAAAATTAAATTTTAAGAAATTTTAATCAGATATTGGAAATCAATTAAATCATAAATAACCCGCCAATATCTTGATGCGCTCTCAGGAGTAACGAAAAAAGCAACACTTGTCATTAGAAGTCTAAATAAAAACAATTAGCAACAGAAATCAAAAAAAGAACAAACTTTTGCCAGCGGAAATGCTTTGAAATAAATACAATGGGAAAAGCATGCCGAGGTTCAAATTTTTGTCAAATTATAGGATGTCAAAAATCAGATAAAATATTGTACAGCGCAAAATACACTTGAGATATAAATGAATACATTGAATTTTGATCTTCCAAAAAGAAATTGATTTTGAAGCAACGGAAATTTTATAGTTAAGCGCTAACAACTGGAGCATTTCATTTGAGATTGTATAATGATAACGAAGATGAAGACTTTTTAATGGATCTTCAATATCCTCAAACAATGGCTTCTATTTTTCCATTAGGAAAGATATAATATCTAACTGTAAACAACATGGAGAGCTATATATTGCAGAGCAATAGTTGAACAGAACAATTATTACCATCCAATTAGAAAATTATCATCCAATAATTTCAAAAGTTGAAGCTTTATAAATTAAACTACTCTTTAAGTAAGGAAGCCCACGATGGCAATAAAATGAGATCTCTCAAAACAAAAATTTTTTATCAAAAAAGGAAAGGAAGGTAAAACGAAAAACGAAATCTTATTTTACTGAATTATACCTAGTGAATAAGAACAAAAAAGACATTGAGAAAAAATTTTTTGAGATCGTCGATGTAACGAAAAATAAGCATTATAAACATTCATTATATTCCTAATTTTCGCACATAAAAAATTGCATATTTATGGAACATGACGAAAAAGGATCTCGTAAAAGTGAAATAAATTGCAAAATTCAACAAAATTTTGGAACTATATTTATATATGGTAAGGGAGGCATTAAATTCACTTTCTTTAACAACTGACGCTTTTAAAACAACAAACTCCATTCCAAAATGTGTGTAAATTTCTCCAATGAGATCCTTCTCCATTCCGCAACAATTTGTTCGATTTTTCAAAAGATCACTGAGATGGCTGCAAAACCACACAACTATTTTCGCAACTTTTCAAATAATGAAAATTTGTATAACTTTTGTTCAATTAAAATTTATATGATCAAATTTAAACGAAACGTTTCAAAACTCCAATATACACAGATCATGAGCATAAAATTTGATAAAATTATTCGGATCTTATTCTTCCTGTAAATGGACGGACTGCTCAAATTACTCGTTGTCATGTTACCAAAAAAAACTTCATGAAGATTTGAATACACATATCAAAAAAATGAGGCAATATGGCAGAAAGGGTGTTCGCCCAATTCAACATCTTTTGCATTCGTAAACTAATTGTTTTTCTTTTATTAGTTAGAGTTACCACTCTGATACGCCTCAAACTTATTCATAGAACAATTAATGCTGATTTTATTTAATCGACATAAAATGGAGGCTTACATCCACAGGAACAAATTCTACATCAGGATCAGAACTTAATATCTTTTTCTGTTCCCGTTCACTGTTACCATGACCACTGTTTTCCTTACAAACTTTCTTTTCGATTGATTTACCGTTTTCGGATTTTCTTCCCGTTTTATCACAAACTTCTCGCTCTTCGTAACTTCCAACTGAATCGGTGTCTCTAAAATCACAATTTCTTTTACTGACTTTCACTGAATTATATTTATTGAAAGATCAAGAAAGGCCTAACATTTTGAGTTCAATATGTGTGTTAAAAGCGATCATTAAAAAACATAAAAGTTAAACAAACTTTGCAGGAGAAGATCTTCCTGATAAGCTTTCTTGTATCGTTTCGAAAATTTGTGAACTACGAGAATCCGAATAACTATTGGTACATAGTTGTCCTTCATGACTAACGCGTGGTGAACTGATATGAAAATCTGACGCATCTGCTGGATCTCTAACAACATAATCGTCTGCTTCATCAAATTCATTTGGTACACATACTGAACTATTGACTGAAAATACTTCCATCAATCACCATGACAATCTTAATCTTGTCCATATCATATGGGTGAGTTTTCTTATAAATAATAAGGCTCACGAATAGTGCAGGATATGAATCCTTATTCACCACTCACCAAATCTCCACAACTTAGCTTTAAAAAATGCCTTTTTGTCTTGTAGCCTAAGAAGATACATGACAAACAAAATATTTTGCATTTCAAAGTGCTTCAGAGAATACTGAAATATGAAATGATGCTCAACAAACCAGAAATTGATTGAATATTGCCATCAAGAAAATTATTATATCTAAGTTGAATATCACCACTTCTCAAAGCTTTTTCATAACTCAACCTTACATTCCTTATCGTTTCTATAAATCTTTCAGAATTTACAATTTATGGATAAACCTAACGAGTTAAAAAAGCTGCGTGACACTACCATTTCTACATAAAAACGATGGTCATAAACTAACGCTGTTCTCTACATCGTTCATATGCACGTCGTGACGGAAGCGCTGAAGTATATTCTGTTTCTGCATCTGTAGAATGCAGAATAATATCACTTGTATCACGTAAGCCATAACATCGTTGTCCACAACCAAACGACGAAGTTCGTGATCTGGAGAAGCAAAAATATGACAACAAATCAAATAACTTTTTACTGATAATAGTTGTATGTTCATTGTATATATTCTTATATTTTTAATGAAATATGATCGATCAAAATTTTCATAATATTTGTTCAGGAACACTATGTGAAAGATCAAATTAAACAAATAAATAAAAGAATATACCTTGAAGGACTGTCGCCACTATGTAATGAACCACTTGCTGATTTGCCGAGTGATAAGCCACCACCACCGAAATCCACCGGGACATGATCGCCTGTAGGATCGTTATTCACATGACGTTTGGAATATGGAGTTGAAAGTCCTGATCCTATACTTCCTGATCGAACTGAAATGTACATAATTCACAGAGATGTAATAATACAACGTAATTTCATGCTAAATTAAATGAAAAATGGAAAACCCAATTTTCAAAAATTATTCGCTGAAAAAATAGATCTAATCCAATTTAAGCCACGTACTGATAATTCATCTGGTTTTTGTATTACAACTAAAAAATTCTCGCATCGCAGACTATCAAACCAAGCTGAATTTAATAAAACTTTGTAGCTATTTGACAGTACAAGTAGCAAGCAAACACGAAATAGTTTATCTTAATTTGAGTTGAGTTGAAAATCGCATATTTATGCATAATTAGGTATACACACGATAATAAAATGTCTTAATTCAATTAAGTGATTAACAGAGAATTGTTCTGAGGCATTTTAATATGATTTATTTATCATGACCATAAGTAAAGTCGTTCGATGTGAATAGTAAAGAATGAAGCAGGTGCAACTTACCGCGAGACATTGGACATTGATCAGTTTGAGGTGCTGCGGACAAAAAAGAAGATTTTGGCGAATGTACGAGTGACAAACCAGTTGAACTCGTTGATGATATTTGGGATGTATTCGATATACGATGAGCACGTGTCATGAAATCACGAGATAGCTTTCGAAACGGCTTTCTGCAAATTAGAACTTTTCGCACAAAAATCAATGAATAAACTTTTCTGAACTAATGTACTTGCACACTTGGAATATTCCTTGAGATCTAGATTACTTATCTAGTATATGTATAAATCTGAAATTTAACATACTGAAACCACGATTTGCTGCTGCCCAAAGAAAAAGCTCTCTTTCGAGCATCCTCTTGAGAAGCACAAGTTGACGGTGACGGCTTATTTGAATGATGTATGTCTTCGCTTTGGGGTAAGGTACTACTACTACGCCTATAATAAAAAATGATTATGAAATCATAAAGATAAAAATGCAATTAGGCATGATAGAAACCATAAGTTCAAGAGGAACTGAAGAAATTCAAAGTATGATAATTTATGGAACATCAGTAATAATATTCCACTTACAAAGAATCCGGTGCTAGTGAACCATATTCCGGATGTATCGGTTTCCTTTCTGAACGTCGTGGTTGCTGATGTATAATGTGTGATGCACCAAAAGAATATGCTCTAAAAAACAAAATATATTTGCAAATTCATGAAAGGATGAGAAAGGGAACCACTATAATTATTATACTGAAATGAAAAACTTACCGCGGTGCACCATTAGCAGCCAATGAAGAATAACAACTATCGCTGCTGTCCGATACATACGATCGTACTTCCTCAAAATTGAATTGTGGCTCTCCTGAAGACAAAAATCACACAAAGATTTATCTTTGATTGAAAAGGAAATTCGATCAAATACTTCATTCCAATCTCTCCTCTGTTGCACCCAATTTCCTTTACATTATGTTCTCTCCTCATTCAAACGTACGCTTTTACAAAATATATTCCAATAACATCTTGACAGATACAATGATTTCGCCAATAATGCAAGATGTCTCTCAATTCGTATTAAATTCGTATTTCTTGATAATACGATAAAAAATTATAATCACTCACCTAATGAGAGACCGAGATGCGATGCACTTCCCGATGACCATGAATTCATTTCCATCACAGCATATTCCAAATTATCTCCAGATACATCCTCTGACACTGAAAATACTGTTGAGCATTAGCATACTCTAGCTACTCAATACTTCACTGGAACAAGCTTAATGACAACGACCTAAAACTGGTAGCAGATTTTTCATTATATAATATAATAAATGATTGATTTATTATATAAAAACAAGTAGATGTAGAAAATAAAAAGAAAAAGCAGGTAAAAAATAATAGCAAATATACACAAACAGTAAAATTCTATAAAATCCTAGAAAATGTACATTTGATTTAAGATACGTTTTATCTTAGTACCCGACAAAAATTTCGTGATTGTACACAACTTGGCTAGTCACACTTCTATCATGCAAGCCAAATGTTCTGTGTTTCTTTGTGGATAGAAAATTAGCAACTCCAATATCCACTAATCAGCCTAATAAGTAGCTAAATAAGGTTAGAACAAAAAAGTTTCAAGCTATCACTATTGCTCATGAAATGAAAGCCGACAATGCAAGCCGCTTCATTAATAATGCTAAAGAAGAACAGGTTTGAATGAAATGTATTTCATTCGTACAAAAAAAAAAAAATCAAAAAAAGATATTTTGCAAAAGTTTTGTTCGACCATTCTTCTTAATTTTGCAGTCAGCTTTGAAATATAATAATTATTACTTTCGCCGGGTGTCGTCTGCAAGAAATCATCATTGGTACTCGTGCTTCCAGCGACTGAGCATGATGTCCCATCGGCTCGATCATCACATTCAAGATGTTCACTCGTTGTCGAAATAACTTTACGAGATCCGGAATGAGGCATGAACTGTTGTTTCGACATGAACGGGTGCGTACGTTCGATGGTTGCTTTAATCTGTCGATCCACACTTGTTTTAGCAGGATTCGTTACTTCTTCCAAATCGGTCCGTAAAGTGCCACCGCTGTAAGAGCAGTGTACAAATAATCCATAAGTAAGGCTGACTTGTTAATAAGCGGAAAAACATGACTCATTTAAAAAAAAAAAAACTTAATAAATGAGATTGCTCACTTCTGTAGCAATAGTGATCCAAAAAAAGAAAGGGGAACAGGAACAAAATTAGATATTAAATACAGAAAACGATAAAAACCTTATGAATCTATATTCATATTATATTTGGTCCCTATAGTTTTCTCTATTCAACTATTCCCTTTACTGTTCAACCATTCAATTCACGAAATTTCTCTGTGCTTTTCAACTACTGAGCAGATCATGAAAAGTTGAAACAAGCAAGTTCGAATCTCCACAACATTTTTGTCTCCAGTCAAAAATGATTGATAGATAATTTTGATAGACATTATGAAATACTTTTTCGTCAGCATTACTTCAGGTAATAAATCAACGAGGAAACCTGCCTGTCTTCAGTTTCTTCCGCAGCTGAAGATGATGCAAATGAAGAATGATTTCGAGAAAGACTCTTCCACTCCAAGCTTTCGAATGATAACTCCCCTTGGAAACATCCTTTACCATTCTTCTCATTTCCAGTGCTGTAAGGAAGTTATACTGTTCAAACTACTTTATCATTAAACTGAATTTTAAAACTGCAAAAATTAGATCCAAATAATATGCAATTTTCATTTTAAAATGAAACTGACTGGCTAACTGTTGATGAAGAGGGAAGTCGCACTTTCGTTTCGAAACTTCGCGTTCGATCAATTTTTCTAACTAAAGAATTTTGCCCAGAACGTGAATTCTTCAAACACTTGCTTCTGTAAAACCTAGATCATTATAGACTGGAAGAAATAAACTCTCGGCGAATAGGTGAATTTCGGAATAAACAAATGCGTGATAAAGCGCTTATACAATTAGAACTTGAAAATATAAAATGAAAAAAAAATGAAATGACTAAGACATATATGAAATAACTAAGCTCACTAGAATTAGCATCCGGAGTTTTCATAAAAAAAGAAGACAAAAAGAAGAATAACCGATAAATATTAGATATAAAGGCTAAAAACACCGAAATAATTTTATATGAATTGCAGCATATAAAATATACCTGGTGCTAGTTGAATCAAACCACAAAAAAGATGGGACATTAGGCGATAGAGTTTCTTCCTGTGTTCTTTCCTGAATTGAATCTGCAGCCCATTTATAACCACGTAATTGGGCTCGTCGTTCCTTCAGTGACAATTCATCAGGTGTCAGTTTTCTGAAAAAACGAGAAATAAATTTTCCAAATATATTATTTCCACTATAAAAAAGTATTGTTTTTCTATTATTTTATTCCAAAAATAAGAGAACGGTAGCAATTTCAAAAAACTTAATGATTCTTCTTTTCTTGGCTTTAAATCCAAATTACTGCTTTTTTTCTTGAAGACATAAATCACACAAATGAATTTCATTTTCGAAAAAATGAGCAGTGTACTAACAGTCATTTGATGATGCAAACTAACATTTTCCTCCTTTAATAATATTAAAAAATTACCTTGGTGCTGTGGTTCCTGTTCTTCGAAATCCACTGTGTGTATGAAGCCGGTCGCGATGATGATACGTGGAAGTTAAATGTGGCAGTGGTCTGAAAAAGATAATCGAAGAAATTAATGTGCTTTGAACTATTCAAGTAAATAATTGAAAATTTTGGAAGCATCAGCCAAACAAAAAAAAATCTCCAAGTAAGCATACATCGAATTCCCCATCTTAGGTTTGGAGAGGAGAAAGTGTATGTGAAACATAAAACATAAGACCAAAGATGTATGCAGGTATAGGAAAGCTAATCATGGATTACTGAAACTCAGAAAGGACAACTGTTATTTCAAACTAAATTTCCGCTAGAAAATGACTGTCGCTATCAATGGTGACTTCAAATTAGCAATTAAAATGTAAGCCTTGAAGTTTAGTTTTAAAAACAAACGACAGACTTATAAAACAAAGGAAATCCAAAGCTGACGCTCACCCATTCGGCATTTTTTTCTTTTTCTCGCACTCCTCTTCGATAATTTTATTTAATTTGTTGTGCACATCGGCAGCTACTTCTTCACAGTCACACAGTGCCCATAGTTCACCGGAACCTGACGGCGATGAGCGACCCATCACCATAAAAAAATATCTCTCCTGGCAACCAAAACTAGCCATGTATTGCCGCTAGAAGTAGACAAGTAAAAAAATGCTAAGTAATAAATATAAGGTAAAGCGCAATTTAAATACATGGGCACAGATTGCTTCGTGAAGTAAACTATAGTACAACGAAATATGAAGTCTACTGTCTTGAATCTTGTCAATTCTCATAAAACAATAGACAGTAAAAGTGTTGATACATAATTAATAACGGTTAGAAAAATTCAGCTATGATTCTGTTCAATTTTGTTCAGCAAATAAGAATGTGCGTATTTCTTATTCTGATCATTCTAAACCGAAAAATATTGAAAACTTACAGGAAATTCAACGAAGTCAGTTGCTTTGAACGGTGGGATGCCTGACTGTGACAGAGCATCCGAGGGTGCTGGTTCAATACCTCGCCTACATAAAATGATTGTATGATGATAAAAACACAATCGATGTGGTCCGAGTAATGATGGGTCTTTTGTACACAAATTAACCAATTTCTCCGAAGATTTAATTGATTTCCGGAACTTTGGGTGTTCAACTATCGTTACATCCCAAGCACATTCTGAAGCAACAATTTCTTAACAACACTACTTTAAAAAATTATAAGCCATCGCATAAAATAATGAGAGCCACAGCTTTTTCATCACTTTTCAGTTTGAAAAAAGTGGCTTGAAATTGAAAATCTCGAGTTCTTCATCAGTTTGTAGAACTACAAAGATAATCAAGTCTTCCCGTCCATTGTTACGCAAGAACTGGATGCTGACACACATGGCATTGCTCATTAAATAATTTTAGTTGACTATTAATTAGTATTTTTGAACAACCTCAGTGCAGGATAAAAATATAATGTCACAAAAATTTCAATGGCACATAAAAAAACGTTAAAAAAGCCGGCAATACGGTTAAAATTTACCAAAAAATTCATTAGCAAGAACGGGTCGTCCAAGATGTAGAGCTCGTGCCGGTATTACTGCAGACATCAACATATCATACCATTCATCACTTAATACATCTGTTTCCGCTCGCAAAACGAGTGTTTCATCAGGCGTCATAATTGCTACGCAGTATTTCAATCGGCCATCAAACTGTAAAAAATATTTTAATATCATGGAATGGACTTAAGAGAAAATTGGGATTTCGACTTTACCAATAAACAACAATTAACTGCTTTGATGAGCAGTTAATTGCTGTTTATATTCTTTAGAAATTTCTACAAATCTCTATCTTCAGAATATGCAAAAAATCTAATTAATTTAAATTTATCAAATGGATCCTCCCAGAAAAAGAAATTAAAAAACTTCTAAAGAAAAAAATGCACAATGCAATCCTTATTTATTTAACATTTTCAGAATAAGTGAATATTTTTCAAAGCTTCAATACATTTGTCTATATAAAATATATTGAAAAGTAATATATGAGCCAATTGGAAAGGGTAATGCAAATTAAAAACATTTTGATTACACATAAAAATCGAATGAATCAGAAATTCTACCATCATTCCTAAAAAAAGTTATAATGATTATTGTATAATATAATGAGTAATATAATGACTGTTGTTTAACGATGAATGTTGATTAAAATACCACGGAATCCGACAAATCTAATGCAGTCTAGTATGAAGAGAAATTGATTTCATTTCCATTTTCAGTGATATTCGGCAGAAAAAAGTGGTGAAATTTGTCATGCAAAATATGCCATGACAAATTGGTCGAGCATACCCAAGTCTTTAAACAACTAACATTTCTGAAATTTGCCACTGCTTTTCGTTTTTTATTTCTTAGAGTTGGAAAAAACAAAAAAAAGTTCTCTGCTGGCTTTTTTGTTAAAAAATATTCAATACTTGACGATTTTTCAATCAGCCATGATAAAACTGATAACACCATCATTCCCTAACTTCATTAAAAAAAGAACCAACGTTTGAGTAACACCAACGTATTGTAGAGAAGTCATAATGACTTTTACATCAAAAAGAATGGCCTAAGCTGCTAAAAAGACCTGAATTTACATACATTGAAAGAGCTAATAATTGAAAGAACAATCCATTCCAACAAAAATTTCACGTTGAAAAAAATTAAAAATGACAGAAACTGTGAGAATTTGAAGTTAGCTTTCTAAATTAACTTCCGCGCTCCTTCAAAAATGAATATTTGCATTTTTCTTCCAACGAGAAATTTCTATCAGAAAGATTAATTAATAGCCAATGAACAGATGTTGCGATAATTTTAGAATCACATATGAAATTAATAATTCAACTTACATGCTGATTAATGTTAAAACATGTAGAAAGATCAATCAGATATCGCGGATGTCTGTTCTTTCTTTGAGATTTCTTTTCACTTTCATGTAGCTCAAGCGCTCGATGACCCAACACTGCGTAATATACTTTTTTTGTTTTCTTAAAATTAATAAACATTACCAAGATGCCTAACAATAACCCAAAAATATCGGTCTTCTTCCAATGAACGGGGCCAAATAGTGAAAACAATCTTTCCTTTTATTGCAAAAAATGGAAAAGATATACACAATTCTGCTCATAATTCTGCTCAATTCTGCTCATAATTCTGCTTATAATTCTGCTCAGGATTCAATGGGAGAATAGTGAACAAGGTTTACTAAAGGTAGTAAATTTTATGATTACAATTATGGCGAATGCCTTAAAAAACTGAACTCTAAATGAAAAGCTTGGTGAAGATGATGATGGCATTTCAGAAGAAATACTTACCGAAGGCAAAAAGGCAGCTGTAACGTAGCCCGATTTTAGGACACCCGCTTCTTCTTCAACTGAATTTGACGTTCGTTTCTTATCCATTTTTCTTCTAATTTAAAATAGATAAAAACTATTCTGTAATTGTATAGATTTCTGTTCTAGAAACATCCAAAATATTGTGATTAGATGGAGGAACCCATAAAATTCCATTTTCTAGACATGTCGCAGTTAGTGGTTTATCCTTCCATGTACCATTAAAAAGTCAGAGTCGAGAATAATATCGTACCTTTTGGTACTAGGTATATGTGCCAATAAAAACAATCTTCTACAGGTAACAAATAAAAACCCTGAAATAAAAACATAAAACCAGTTTCTAATTATACGCTAAAGAGATTAATTAAAATACGGCTAAATCAAGAACACGATCGATAGCCGACATTGTTATAATAAAGAAGACAATAAACGTACACCACATGTAATCTGTCAAATATCATAATAAATAATGACAATTAAAACTTCAATTAAAAGAAAGAGATGAGAGGAATTCACGAAGAACTCAATTAAAAATTACAGTTTGTAGTATACAACGCAAAGAAAATAATGTTAAATGTAGAGAATAGGAAAACGATGGACGATACTGTCATTCACTTAAAAGGTATGACATTGTTAGATGCAATGAGAACATTAGGATGACCTTCGAGAATCCAAATTATGGCAATAACCCGACAAGAATATTGTCAGCAACATGAAAGAACGAGACAATGTTAACAATATATAATCTTGGCCATTGGAAGAGAAGCAGAAGAGTATGGAATATTGTTTTTTTTTTCACTATTTATTGATCTAACTAACATAATCTCATTTTCTATTAATTTAGTGCAGCTCAATGTACTCAGTATTAAATTTCAAATCCAATCACCTGACCTCAAAACCCCACCTCTTAACCTTTTGATATTATAAGAGCGAACGATTTTAACGATAAATCATTGAAATCTCTCATCCCAAAGACTATGATTACATGAAATATTCCCTTGATCCTGTAAGTATCGATAGAAGTTAAATCAATTTTACGTAAATTTATTTTCAGGGATATCTTCAGTTGGATTAGATAATAATTAATAACTCTACATATCATAATTGAAAAATATCCTCCGATGTAGCTTTCGAATATTTCGGTTCAATGCAAGTTGATCATTTTTGCTCATTTTAATTTTTTATTGAATCAGGAGCTTTTCTTTTTGATAACATTGTTAGTGTTAATTTATACGGAAATAATCTTTAAACGACAATTCATACCGGAAATCTCTTTAAAACGATCAAGTTTTCGTCTGAAAAGCATGCCAAATTTCAATTGTGATAATTGGCTGAAGAATGTAAATAAACAATAATTTTAGGAAATCAACGCTTCTTCTAAATTTCATCCAAGTTTGAACTTTTTTTAAGTCTAATTAGAAGTGCTTCTTTTTCTAGTGATTTCATATTTCTTTGTTACGATTTAACAAAAAAAGAATCGTTAAATTTGATGTAATTAAATATTGCAGCATAGAACTATGCCATGCTGTAAATGAAATAATTATATATTACATATAAGACATATATAAATATTGATTGAAAATATATTCAATACTCATTATAATTATAGGCGAAAAAGAAAGACTTTAAATTTTAACTTTCTATTCTAACAAGCCTTTTAAATTTACTTTAACGTTTGGTTTAGTTCGTTTAAAAGCTGAATAAATATTCATTCAAGCTGTAAATATTTATGGATCATAACTGTAAAAAATTTCAAATAGAAAAAGTAAAAGCCAATAACATAACTAAATTTACCGGTCACATTCTTTGTGATAATATAATATAAAATCTAATACCAAACTTTAAATCGTTATACTTAAATTCCGATAAAGCATTGAAGAAGTTTTTAAATCAGAAGCACACATTAAAATATTTCCACTTTTCTGCAACTAACAACGGCAAATAATCAGTTATTTTAACTTTTTTATTTTTTATTTTTTGAAGCAAATCAATCAATTTATGAAAGAAGCTGCGCCTACAAATTGATTGCATGCTTAGAAACTTTCCAGTATCATTAATTACGCATTCAGTCGGCTGAAACAACAATTCGAATGATAAAAATGAAATATTTTTAAAAAAAACACAAAAAATTAACCTCTCCCTCTCCTTTTCTATCGTTTTTTTTTTCATTTCTCCATATGAACTGAAAAAAAAAACATTCGAAATGATACAAAGAAAAAAAGTCGAAGCATCAATTGGTGAAAAATTAGTTAAGTTTGCAAAAATTATTGAAAACATACTTTGCTACGACTCTTTCTATTTTTTTTCCCCGCTTTTTTATTTTTCTTATAAATATCATTCCGTATGATATGCGCTCACGATATTATTTGTATTTTAATGCATTGCAGAAATGTTTTTACATTGAAAAATTAATCGAAGAGAAATCAATTAGTAATGATTAGGTCTGATAATATTAAGCACTCACAATTAAATTGTTTTATCATGAAAGAAAAAAAGAAAACATTTGCTAATAATCGATCTTTTACGAATTACCTAATTGATAAAACAATTTCAGAATACTTATTTAACAAGCTATATACCCTCTTTATGAAATGGAAAAAAGTTAAATTTTAAGTGGATAAAGTAAGTAATTTTGTAAGTAAATGATTAATTCGATATGTTGCAAAATAGCCATTCTGTAATGTCATTTTGTTATTTTTCTTTTTCATAATTTTTGCGAAAGAAAAGCGATAAATTTGAGCATATATTACAACAACAAATAAACTGCATTTTTTTTTCAATTCACCAAAATTTTTTGAAAAAAAAAGAAAATTCAATTGCAAAAATAAAGGTGATTGTTAGTAAGAGAAAGATGAGAAATGTTGAGTATGAAGATTTTTTGAACAGTGCAATAAGATCAATGTAATTAATTGCCGTGAAAGACACAATTGAACTTACGTGATTTTCTCCCTCTGAAATTTTTCCTACAAAAATAGAAGGTGTAAATTAGTACGCTTTTCAATATGTAATAATATAAATAATAACAAACATATATCAAGTAATTGTGTAAATAATTCATTCCATTGTTTGTCTTCTCTCTTGCGACAATTTTGATTTTAATTGAAAAACGACTAAATGTGAAAATATAATTTTACATATTTAATACAAATTATCTCAATTTTAAATTTGAAATGTGAATTATTAAAATTTCTCTCTATGTATACATGTATTACTTTCACTGGAATTATTTAATTCCCAAACTGATGAAATGATAGTTAATTGTTAATACAAAATAATATTAAAATATTTACAAAATAAGGCAGAAAATGAGAAATAATTTGAATAACTATCTTTATTTGCACAACATACAACAAAAAAAAAAAACGTTATTTTAGCAAAAAAAAAAAAAACAAAGAAACATTTCCAAATGAAGGATGATTGTTTAGCTTGTTTTAGAAGCAAAAAGGGTAAGAATAAGCGCAAAATGTATGTATGAGAGAAGACGGAGAGCCGAGTGCGGTAAAAAAAGAGAAGAAAAGGAGGAAGTTATTGAAAATAGCAGCTGAAGTTAAGGAAAAAACGCCTGAAAATGAATGAAGCAGATGAAAAAAAAAAAAACAACAAAATGAAAATTTGTTGTAAACAACTAACTAACTCTTCACGTCTGCCTTCAATACCTCTATCAATCCAACAATAAATGTAACATTGTGTGTGTGTGTGTGTGTGTGTGTGTGTGTGTG